TAAAAAAATACCTAATCTTTCTTATATGAAAGTTTTTGGTTGTCTTTGCTATGCAACTAAAGTTAACTACAAGGACAAATTTTCTCCAAAGGCCTTACATTCTGTTTTTATGGGTTATTCATCAACTTAAAAGGGTTATCTACTTTTTGATCTTTATGCAAAATTCTTTTTTGTCAATCGCGATGTTGTTTTTCATGAGACTATTTTTCCTTTCTCATTTCCTTTAAATAAGCCTTCTCATTTTTTTCCTACTCAACCTTTCATTGATGATTATGATTTTCTTACTCTCGAAATTTCTGCACCATCTAATCCAGTAAGTTATGTTTCACCTAGTTTGTCTTCCTCTTCTTCTTCTTCTGCATCACCTCAAGTTTCAACTAGTTTACCTATTCCATCTTCAAGTCCATGTTCTAGTCCACTTTCTTTGCCTCAAAATCAGGGTTGTCTCATAGAAGGTCTACTGGGATTATCAAACCTCATAATTGGCTACATGACTATGTTCAATCCTACCAATCTTCATCTCTTCCAAGTAAGTATCATATTTCCAATTTCATTTCTTATTCCCACTTACCTTCTAAAACTCAAAGTTTCTTATCTTCTACTTCTCACTTAAGTGAACTAAAAACTTATACTGAAGCCATCACCAACCCTCTGTGGATCAAAGCCATGAATGAAGAGATTGATGTTTTGGAGTCAAACACTTGGTCTATAGTTACTCTGCCATCAGGAAAGGTTTCAATAGGTTGTAAATGGGTATACAGAATCAAGTACAAGGCTAATGGAGATGTTGAACGTTTCAAAGCTCGCCTTGTTGCTAAAGGATTCAACCAAAGAGAAGGAGTTGACTTTGTGGATACATTCTCTCCATTTGTTAAACTAGTCACTGTTTGAACTATTCTTGTTATTGCCTCCATTTTTTCTTGGCCTCTTTATCAAATGGGTGTGTACAATGCATTCTTACAAGGTGACTTAGTTGAGGAAGTCTATATGGTACTTCCTGATGGTTTTTGCAGCCAGGGGGAGTATAAGGTTTGTAGGCTGCATAAATCACTTTATGGACTGAAACAAGCCTCCAGACAATGGAATTTGAAGCTAACAGAAGCATTACTTACAGCTGGTTATATGCAGAGCAAGTATGATTATTCAATGTTCACAAAGCAACAAGGGAGTGATATTGTTGTGTTGTTGGTATATGTTGATGATCTTTTAATCACTAGAGTAATGAGAAATTGATAGCAGAACTGAAACACATTTTGAATAAGAGTTTCAAAATGAAAGATCTTGGAGAGTTGAAATACTTTTTAGGAATAGAGGTTCTAAGATCGAAAGAAGGAATTGTGCTGAATCAAAGAAAGTATGCTCAAGAGTTGATTGAAGAGACTGGAGTAGGGGGAGCTAACCCATCTTTGACCCCTCTTGAGCAAAACAAGAAGTTTACTACAGCTGAGTATGATGAAGCAGTTTGTAGCAATGAACAACTGTTGCAAGATAAGTCTGTTTTTTTCAGAAACTTATAGGCAGATTAATATATCTGACTCACACAAGGCCAACTATTGTTTATGATGTACATTTCCTCGGTCAGTTCATGCATAAACCAAAACAATCACATATTGAAGCTGCATTGAGAGTGGTAAAATACATCAAGAAAAATACAGGACAGGGGATTTTACTAAGTGCAGCGAGTGAGTGCATGTTATTTGCCTATTGTGATTCTAACTGGGCTGCCTGTCCTATGACCAAAGGTCTGTAACTGGTTTCTGTGTTAAGCTTGGGATGTCTTTAATTTCTTGGAAATCTAAGAAGTAGAACACGGTTGCGCGTTCTTCTGCAAAAGCGAAATATAGAAGCATGGTAGGGACAACTGCAGAATTAGTTTGGCTGAAGGGTCTGTTAGTAGAGTTGGGCCTGAAAAATTTAGCACCAGCTCAGTTGGTAGAGCGCAAGGGTCTTAACCTTGTGGTCATGGGATCGAGCCCCACGGTGCGCAATTCATAATTCTGACTGCCGGAGGTCTCCCACGGAAGTTGCTCTTAACCTGGCATTGGGGGCAACCTACTATCCTACCTCCCCCTTACCCCATTATATATGGGAATAGGGTCAGCTAATTTTAAGCTATTGTGTAATAATAAAGCAGCTTTGCAAATAGCAGCTAATCCAGTTTTCCATGAGAGAACTAAACACATTGAGATAGACTGCCACTTTGTCAGAGAGAAGATTCAAGAAGGCTTGATACAGACTGAACATATCAAAACAAGGAAGTCAACAAGCAGATTTAATGACTAAAGCCTTGGGTGTACATCAACATGAATATCTAGTTTCTAAGTTGGGGTTTAAAGACGTCTTTACAACCACCAACTTAAGGGAGAGTGTAGAAAGTATTAACTGTTGTAATATAGTTGCATAATCTGTTAATTTGTTAAGTTTGTTAGATTTTTGTTATTGAGTTAGTTATAGGAAATCATTCTGTATATAAAAGACCTATTTGTTGTAATTGAAAGTAAGAGGAATAAAATACTATTATGCCCAAATATTCAGTTTTAACATAAATAAAATAAATTAAAGTAAATATATTACTTCATAATAAAAGTTTATAATATTTTATCTAAATTAATAAATCACTTATAAAAAATAAACCTACATAAAAGTGAAAACTCGATTTACTAAACTAAAAAAATACCATGTTCCATTAAATGAAGTCTAATTTTCAAAATAAATATTAGACAGTACTATACAACTACTATGCATGGGAAATGATCACGTGCGACATCTTTAATATACGATTAAAAAAAGACGGTATCGGTTTTGTTATTATTTAAATAATAAAATCGGTAAAAAATTATCGGAAATATTATTATTTCTACTGATTTTATTATTTTTTCTACCGATTTTGTTATTTTTGAGCATTTTAATAAAAAAAATTTGATATTTTAGATATAAATAATAATATTTTAAGTAATATTTTATTAATTTTATTATTTAAATAATAACAAAATCGATAACTTTTTTAATAGTATATTAATGTAGAACTTCTCTATTATACATATATCTAGCAGACACTATACTAATGCGGCACAGCAGCAGCCTGTCTATCATCGGAAGTTGACGCATATGGCATTTTCAAGGTACAACTACATACGATAAATAAAATTAATTAGATTTTGGTCTTGATCGACCCAGACAACTCTTCATCTTTCTTCATCATATATATATATATATATATATAGGTTTACTTGTTTAAATTATTTAGTCTAAAATTATCTTACTTTACCAAATTAAGTTTAAAAAATATTGTATTAGAATTTATTCTCATATAACGTCAATTCCTTGAATAAATAAAGTTCAGGAGTGTTGCACATAACCAGAAGACAAGAAACACACTTCAATTTATTGGATTACTGACAGTGTTGCTGATGACCTACAAGTTCATAACAGTTTTGCCAATTTTTGATTTGTTAATAGTGTGGCAGTTGCTTAGTCACCTGTTACTTACTGACCAGTTAGTCAATGCTATTTTTGTCTAGTGTTTTATTCTATTCACACATCAAATTATACTCATTTTTATCAAATATTGTGTATTAATTTAATTATTTATTATATAACTATACTCCATCTGTTCAATTAAATCTCTCCCTTATCACCTTTTTAAAAGTTAAAATTTTATAATATTTTTTGTTGTCCTTTTGATTTCAAAGTTTCGCTTCATACCTAGTTTTAGTAGGTGAGTCTTTCAACAAATTTGTTTTGCACACCTGACTTTGATTATGATTATGTTAAATAGTTAAACTTTATAAAATATATATTTAAAAATTACTCGATCGAAGGTTTTTAAAACATATTTTTCATGTTTTTATCAAAAATAGATTTTAAATAATAGTGAGTAAAAGTTAAAAAAAATTGACCAAAAAATCAATGGAAAAAATATTTAATGAAATAGATGAAATATTTACTATAAAAAAATCAAGTGGGTTCACATAATTAATAAATAGTTAAAAGTAACTTTGTTTCTTAATAAATGATATTAGGTGATTTATTCATAATATAATAGTATTAAATATATAAATTAATTTATTAACGACTATGAAATTTTGTAAAACTAAATGCTATTACAAGGCAATTGTATATTATGTGTTTATAGCATTTTCCTTATACAAAGAATACGACTTTTTTTAACTTTAATGATAATTTGATAAAACTGAAGGCACCATGTCATAAGGTTTGTTAACGTTGTTGACTACATTATATAATAAAATGATAATTTATTGTCAAATTGAAAAGAAAAAATATTTAAATAACAAAATAAAAAAAACTACTAATAGTACGAAAATGATTAAGATTATTTCCTAAAATGTTAAGTTACTGACAAAGAAAATTTAAATATACACTATAGGAGTGAGTTAACTTTCCAAATTGGACATATAATGGTTGCTTTCCGTTTACTGATATGGTATGCATATCTCAAACAAAACAATATATATGGTATGTATTTTTCATCCAGCTTTGCTGCAATAAAAAAATTTATGTCAGCACAGCTGAGATGATGGCTCACTTACTAATCGGAGGAGGCTCCAAAATTATATCCATTTGGACCAATATAAGATGTTATATTAGAAGTATACATTTTTAAGAAGTTATATACAACTTTTAAAAGTATAAATTAATTTATCAACAATAATATAAAATAGTTAAATTATACAAAATTTAAATTTTTTAAAATGTCATTATATCTTAAATTAAATAAATAATAAAAAAATACCTAAATCAAAATAATGTAAACTTCAAATTTTATACATATGTATTTGTTCCTGTAATTTAATAGTATATATAATAGTATCTTAAGTTAACCGTATCATGTCAATGAGAAAATATAATTAGATATATAGTATATGACGTGGATTCGCAATGTCATGATGCAAATACCATGAAGTATGACGAGAGAAATGAAGGGCTCAGATTCACTCCTGGGCTTCTGGCTCTTCTTTTATCTGCCCCATCTGGATCTGGTCATCTCCACTTCTTCACTTCTATGTCCTCTTCTTTTTTCCCTTCAGTTGTTCTCTCAGAGCTTTTTCTTGGAAACCTTTGGAAGAGTAGCGTAGAGGAAATAACCAAGTAAGGAAGATGATGGCAGGGAAGAGACCGAGGCCGAGGCCACCAATGAAGAGAACAACGAGCTTGACAGACATCACTTTTGATCTAAACACTGGCAACGTTGAAGCCCCACCGTCTGATCCTCATAACCCTTTTAAAAGCCACCTAAAACAGGGTGCTGATCCACAGATACAGGGTAGTGGTGGTGGAGGATTAGATCAACGGTTGATGGCGACGGTGTCACCTAGAATTCATAGAAGACATTTATCGGATTTCATGGAAACCCCCCATTTCTTGAGGTCTTGCGGCCTTTGCAGACGTCGCCTTGTTCCTGGACGTGATATTTATATGTATAGGTTATTTTTCTCCCTTTAACTACGCCTTCCTGCTTCTTCTCTCCTTTTTCCTTTTCTTATGTTATATTTTTATTCATACATTTGTTACGCTACATTTTGATCTGATTTTTCATGGAAATCCCAAGTTCTTTTTTCTCAAAGGAACTTTTGTTTGTATTTTTTTGCACTTCTGATCTGATTTTTCATTTTGCTAATGAAGTTTTCGTTTTGCCATTGGAAGGAATTCCAAGTTGCTTACTTACAATGACTCTTCTTCGGTTCTTGTCTTTATTTGTTATTGCATGCCTGTTAACATTCTCAACTTCTTCTTTTAATTTAATAATCTGGTACAAACTTTCAGGTTTGAAAATTCAATAATTGAATTGAATCCCAAAATTCATTTTTTTAACTAGCGTACCAAAAAAATATCCAGACTTAATTTCAGACATGTATTTGGTTGGGAAATCCAAGTTAAATCTTCTTCTTGCTTAATCATTGTTGTTGTTATTGTTTTTGCTTGGTAATTAACTGATGATGTAACTTTATATGTTCGTTTAATTGCAGGGGTGATAGTGCATTCTGTAGCCTAGAGTGCAGGCAACAGCAGATGAACCAAGACGAGAAGAAAGAGAAATGTTCGGTACCATCGAAAAAACAAGCCGCCGCTTCATCTGCTGCAAGATCTGGTGTCTCCGCCAAAGGTGAGACGGTTGCCGCCGTATAGTTATATTAATCAGTTTGTGGCTCAATTTTCATGCTACTCCAAGGAATTAATATATATGGGCAGTTCGAGTATTACCTTTGTAATGCAAATTGGACAATTTTTGGACATGTTATTTATATGGATCCAAAATGGAAATTATACAAAAAAAAACCAAAATATCTACTTCATCAGTTATTCCTATAACATCTTCTCTGTCTTTTGCTAGCAAAGATATGCAGATTCATCAGGTTTTTAAAGGGTTGATGAATAACCTCATTAATTAAAAGATTAAAAGAATAATTGCAATAGAAAGAAATGAAGAAAATTTTGATAAATGACTCGTTGAATATGTAAAGTAGCAATAATTGATCCTAGACTGAAAATAATTTTGTTATCTTTATATGATTACAAAAAAAATTATTTAATAAAAATCACAATTAATATATATATATACACACACACACAAATTTAAATCAGTCATTATAATCATAAATGAAAGAAAACTCAATCTTTGTCATTTTCTCAACTTTTGCTAATTCTTTAAAAAAAATTAGGGTAAAGTGTAGTAATGGTCACTGAACATTTTTGAAGCTTGTATTTAGGTCTCTTAACTTTTAAAACTTTCAATACAATCCCCTAACATTTATTCCGTTTGCAATATGGTCCCCAACTTAAACCACTGTTAGAAAGTTAGGGTAAATTATATAAACAGTCATTGAACTTTTTAGATACTTGAATTTAGGTCTCCCAACTTTTAAAACTTGCAAAACAATCCTCAATTTCATTATAAACCCCAATTTCCAAAGTAATTAAATTTCATTCTAAACCATTGATTCTACTAAATCATAAATGATCACTGTATGAGCAAATTCAGGTGAATCATAAATGATCGCACTGTAAAGCACTGAAGGGTTAGGTACTCAAATCTGATAAAAAAATAGCATGCAAGAACATATTGGTACTTAAATCATAATGCTCCAAATGAGTGTTCCGAATTTCATATAGTCAAAAGTTGAAGAAATGAGCAGAGTTTATGGGAAGTTGAAATACCGAATAGAGTGCTTCCATTTTGCTATTCGGGATGTTTAATCAATGCATATTGTTATTCAAAATTGATATAAACAATTAAACAAACCTCAAATTTATATTGAAATAAATATTGTCAAATAGTAAATTCATGTTCAAAATTTCAAAACACCTTAATTTCATTCTAAACCCTAAATTCTAAAATAATTCAATTACATTATAAACCTTAAATTGAAGTGTTTTAGAATTTGGAGTTTAAAATTTAATTGAATTATTTTGGAATTTAGGGTTTAGAATGAAATTAAATTACTTTGGAAATTAGGGTTTAGAATGAAAGTGAATTACTTTGGAAATTGGGGTTTACAATGAAATTGAAGACTGTTTTGAAAGTTTTAAAAGTTGGGAGACTTAAATTCAAGTGCCTGAAAAGTTCAATGACCGTTTATATAATTTACCCTAATTTTCTAACGGTGGTTTAAGTTGAGGGACCATATTGCAAACGGAATAAATGTTGGGGGAAATGTATTGTAAGTTTTAAAAGTTGGGGGACCTAAATGCAAGCTTCAGAAATGTTCAGTGACCATTACTATACTTTACCCAAAAAATTATTGATAAAATCTAATTTAATTGAATGATAATTAACTTTTTAAGTGAAATTAAAGAAGAAAAAAAAGGAAAATTTTGGAGGAGAGGGGACCATGTGGTGTGGCTTAGTCAGCTTTGAATGGAATGGGTCCCAAATTGCACAAACTTAAAAATAAAATAGCAATAATAAATAAATTGCTTAATAATTATTTTAGGTCCACTATTTAAAAAAATCAAATTAATCATTTTTATTTTTTAGGACCTTTTTGTTTTCGTTCTATCAGTATCATTAGTCCCTCATCAATTTTCATTAAAGAGTCGCATGGTCTAATCAGATTTTTTTTTCATGTGATAATTTTACTTTAAAGATTAAAAAAACTTCACATCAAATTATAGAACTCTAAAAAATAATAATTAATTTATATTATTTTAAAAATTGTAATTATACCTAAAAAAATAATATTAAGTCTATATAAAATAAAAATAATAATTTTTTTATCAATTAGTATTATTTGTTTGTTGATCCCGGGCTAAAACAACATTGATTACTTTTACACGTAATTACTAAATAATTATATACCAAAGTGCAAGGTTTATTGTCAATGTCAATCCATCTATGGATCACTGCCATGTTGTTTTCGACTCCCTACTTGTACCAACTCTCCTTTAATAGAGTTTGCGTCCATTCCCCACTTCACAACCATGCCGCTTAGCATTTAACAACTCTATCACATCAACCTATTTAAGTAATGTTCACTTATTTTAAAAAATAGTTATCTAATAAAATTTATGTGATATTATGTAAATTTCAGTTTGCACAGTCTATTTAAATTTAGAAGTCATATCTAAAGGTTAAGATTTAAGAGTTTAGGGTTAAAATAAATAAATTATCTAGATGGAGTAATACAAATATTGACCATTCATATACGAATGGAAGTCTGCTACCACTTTTTTCTGCCCTTACCCATGAAAAAAGTTATTAGATGGATTCGACTTATAACATCATCTATTGTCTCAGTCAATAAAATTTATAAGTCTTGTTTTTTTTCAATGTGAATTTTTATTTATTTCCTATATTTAATTAAGGAGTATATAGTTATTTGGAGATTAATAGATCTCATTGATTAGGACACGAATAACGTGATGAGCCGGATCCACATAATAATTTCTCGGGTAGGGGCATAAATAAGGGATAGAAGATTTCTATTCATTCGTATACATCATGCAATAGGAAGAAAGGAGAGAAACTACATATTTTGCTCCATATATTAAGGAAGCTCTACTTCTCATGTATTTAACGGAACTGCTCTGTTACTTTTATGATATGTTTGGGGAGTAAAAATATGAATTCTAAACAAGAAAACGCTTTCTGTAACTGAACTCACTAACATAAAATTTCCACTCCATACACATTCAAAGATGTTGAGTGCTAAGATAGTGTTAGGGGAGTAAAAAATTCCAGTTCGTCACCAGTACCATGGTTATCAAACAGTGAGCAGGACCTCATATTTGTAGTATAGGAATAGGAAAGCCTACTCCGACCTTGGGATTCTCTTGAGCCCAAAAATGATGAAAACCTATTACGACCCTGTTCCTTTTCCTTTCTTGTGTGCCTCCTCCCTTGCCTTGAATGTGTTTGGGGCCTGACTTTTGTGTTTATTTCAGCCCTACCAGAACTGTGGTTGACAGTTGGCCTTCTGCCATCCTACATGACTACCGGACTGTAGAATTCACTTTATATCAGCAATTAATCCGGCCAAAACTGTAGATGCTCGGTTTCGTCCGGGGACTCCGTTCAAGTTCTAGATCCAGTACGAGTTACAGTGTGGATCGGTGAGAGCCCAAATGAGCCCAAGACTGTTGGAAGCCCATCTCAAGACCAATGGACAGCAGCTGTGTGTAGAAAAAAAGATGGACGTTGGCTTTAGCAGTTGAAATAAGCAGATAGTGGGGAATTAACTACCCGAAAACGTGGGACATTTAACCACTGAAAACGAGAAGATTACGGAGGGAACGACAGAAAAAAAAGGGGGGAATGAACTAAGGAAACGAGCAAGAAGATTGAAGCGGAGAAGGACCATTACGAGAAGAACAAAGATTTCATTGGTTTTTTTTAACACAATAGATCATAGAGAAAAGAACAGTGGTGTAAAAATTTTCTTTCCCATATTCAAAAATCAAACAGTGTTGTCACAAAGGGATTTCCTTGGCCCTGATTCGTTGGAAGCAAGCAATAGAAACAAGTCAATTGTTTTTAGCATTCGAGTATAAGTAAGTAAATTTCCAAGGTCCTTCTCTAATTCGTCTTCTGAAACTTTATTTTATTTCATTTTTATTGTTCCTTATTTGAAACTAGCAGAAGTGTAAATGAGATTACCTTAATCTTGGTTTGCTTCGTTTTGCCTAACATGGATTTGTTACGTTTGGCCATTAGTCCTGAAATCCTTTTGTAGTCCCTTGTGTTCAAGGCCAAAGCTTGCTTGGGACTTTCTTCGAGCACTTTCTCTACTCCCTTGAACCAATCTCAAGACCCAACTGCTCCAGCTTCAACAATTCGCATAACCTACTCCCTCCATCATCTTCTGGTTTCATTCCACAAAACGGTTTCTTAGAATTTTCTAAAGAAGGCGCTTCCTTAGTCTCCTGCTAGTAGCCCAAAGTCGAATCCTTTTCTCTCTTATGAAAATATCCGCTCTGGGTCTCTCTTATTTCCTTCAGGAAGCGGCAGTAGTTTTTTCTTCTCTGGTGTGAGCGTGAGGGGAGAGTAGGAGAAGAAAGAAGTCTGATGCGGCTGCAAGTTTAGTTTACATTAGATTAGGTTTAATTTTAGTTAGGTTATATATTAAAACTTTAGGGTTAATTATTGTTAGCCACCGTGACCTTAAGGATAGATTAGGTTTAGGCCCTCATAACTTAAGCATTTTCGTTTTAACCCTTGTTTTAATTAGTGATATATACATATATATTTTTAATTTACGCTTCATTTCCTTTTAGTTTACATTAGATTAGGTTAATTTATTTGTTTGTACTTCGTATAGTTTATGTATTTGATATGTTGTTTTATGTTCTTTTATTTCAGTCCTATGCATGCTTATGGTTTATTAGCAACTTAGGGTCTGAACCTTCATGTTAAAATGGTTTGAATTTATGTAGTATGCTGAATTTTACATTTTTTAAATTTAGTCCTTATTTTAACATGTATATATACATTTTTTAAATTTATAGTTTAGCATGTTATGATTTTGTTTTTGTATTTAGGTCACATGTGTTCATAATATGTCAATATGCATAATTTATGATTTTTAATTAAAACATATGTATAATTTTTTCATGTCACATTGTATGATACTTTTAATGTTGTTTAATTAAATTTCGCATGACATCCACTTTTTGCATAATTTGCATGATAGCCTCACGCGCATAACTCGACCTATTACATAATCGGACTAAGGGTAATACCCTTTTAATTTAAAATCGTTTCGAGTGGCCTGTCTTAACTGATTAGAGGGTCGTTTTGACTATTTTAAATTAAAAGTGTA